TTAGAGTGAAAACCTACAGGAGGCTAGCTCTCCAGGAACAGGGTTGGTGAAAACCTACAGGAGGGTAGCTCTCCAGGAACACCGTTGAAAAGCCCTAGACACTGATATATTATGAAACTTAACATCAACAGAACAGAACAACAACTGGAACTGTACAGCACATATTGTAAAGCCTTGGCTCCTAACCTAGGCTATACTATGGTCAAATAGAATCAATCCTCTCATTTCCATGGTCATAGTAAAACCCACTCCCCATCTGTAGTCATGTATAGCAAACACAGACCAGCTTAACTTCTGCTGCCCAGAAGTCAAACAGTGATTAGAGAGGCTACAGCCGCCTTTCCCCTCCAGTAGCCATGTATCGATTATCACCTGCTGCCTCGACACGCAAACTCCAGGAAACGGCTGCATATTTCAACAGGGGCATCGACGGAATCTCTGACTGGGGGGTTCTGGAGAACCAGACCCCCTGTAGATGATGGAAGAGCAGGCAGGCAGGTGTGTGATTTGGAATGTGATGCAGAAGAATCAGAAAGAGATTAAGCCCAGTACTCATTGGAAGCCAAATGTTCCAACTGTACTAATGTTCAATTCCATCGACTGACTGAGAGTTCCATTTGGCTATTCAGTCTAAGGAGAAATACAGGCCTAGCACAGGGGAGGAAGCAGCAGTCCCTCTCCAGGTCTAAATGAGGACAGAAAATACTGAGGGAGCTCTGATGAACACTGGTCCCTTTTCTGTGGTTGCTCAGGGAGCTACATCATGTTTGTGGAAGTGTTTCTCTCTTTCTCCCTCCACTCTCCAGAGGTCTTTACTGTGGAGCCAGCGTCATTAATGGGCTGTAGGGAGGAGATATGGCTCACTGCTCCGATCTGCACTCATTCAAATGAAGCTGAAACTTTAAAGAGAACCAGACAGACACCATTTTTTAACAGCACACACCTTAGTGCAGTAAACTAAGCACACCGTATAGTGAGGTGTTGGTGCTTGGATCAAAGAGATACCATATGATTGCTTATGATCTGTAACAGTCTATCCGATATGTAAGTTGTTGCGTGAATGTAAAAGGTGCTCCTATCTGGCCTTTCCTGACCTTAAAAGTTTTCAAACACAAGATGTCATCGAGCAGCATACGCTCTGTTCCCGGTAGAGGTTAAATTACAGAATCTGAATCCCTTGAGTGTTATGGAACACTGAGAGCCTTAAAATATAAACATGAAGTTCCAATGAAAATCAGGAAGTGATAGGAACTTCCACCGACAGGCTATTGATGACAGAAAAGTAGCAGAAAATTCCAACTATGACCTTCAGTGACTACGGAACCACTAGTCTACACTATTTAACTGTTGTACACATTCTAATATTTTTCATGATGACATTTGTAGAGTAAGATATGAGTGAAACCACATTCCTTCTCTCACAGTGTTGTTTAAACAGTCTACCTTTCGATAGGCCTACACCATGAATGAAAAGAATCTTGAATGGGGCTGTATTCAGCCAAATCACTATAGAAACCTCAAAGTTCCACACGGTGCAGGAAGTCTGTTTGTTTCCATGCCTACTGTTCATGTGAGCCTTAACTACCATAGAACTGAAATGGGGCAGATCTAGAATGGTCATTCTCATTAATTGAATGCAGTGTTCTGTGTGGAAGTTTATAATTCAGTATGTTTTTCAGTGCAAGAATGTAGTTGGCTGACATTTTGGTAGGTCTGTGTTAAATCAAGTGGAATTTGTAGCCATGTCTGTTTTACCTATTTCTAGCCTCACCCCTCTCATTTTTGGCCTCTTTCCAGACCTGCTAAAGACCTGCCAGAAGCACCCCTGGGAGATAGAACTTCTGTAAGTATAACGTTTTAAAAACGTTCTATTTAAAGGATAGTTCACCTCAGTGGTGCCAATCTTTCCCATTCATTTGAATCCTGAGACATTTAGGCCACATTTGAGGCCTGACAAACTTTGGCTTTGGAGAATGAACTATCCCTTTAACTGGAAGCCACATAGGCCGTCCTATGAGAGTAAGGGAGGGGTGTGGAGATTGCACAGTGCTGTCAACCCAAACGCTGTTTCGCAGCCTGACCAGAGACGGAAGAGAGACATCCCACTCCCAAATCGTTTCTGGTTCATATACAGTCAATGAACTAAGCAGACCCAGCTGCTGTCGTATTGGTGTCTATGGGAGAGCCACCCCTTAAGCAGACTGGACTGTGACCATTTTTTTCAATGGTAAAGCCTGAGTAATACATCTTCTTTTATCCACAATCTTTGGCCTGACATGAAGTCTGGTAGGGACTGACAAAACTGGACTGTGCACTGACACAGAAAGCCCAAGCTTGGGGATTGTGACCTTATGACAGTTTTCTTTCCTTGTGTATGGATGTTGTGCACTGTCGTCTCAAGCGTCTTCCACTCCACAGACAGACTGGATGTGAAATGCCTACTTTGGTATTTTTTGTATTTTATTAGGATCCCCAATAGCTGTTGCAAAAGCAGCAGCTACTCTTCCTTTAGCAAGCTGGGTTAAATTGTAGTGTGCTCAGTCGGAGTGGGGAGTTATCAATTAAATCTTTTTGGTAGTAGACCGGTTTTCTGAACAGTAGGTAGCTTCGCTTCTTATTTCGATAAGTCTGGTTGCAGCTTTCGACAAACAGCCCTGTAGATAATGTAGCCTGCAGTAGATCTACATTTTCTTAGTTGTCAATGCTGCAGAAGTGGTTGTTCCTTTCACCATTTCTATGGCAGGTTCAGAGAAATCAGGAGTTCTCCTTCTCTTGGCCATGCCGTCAGAGGTGGGACTAGAGGTTCACCACTAGTGGGTGGATAAAAACCGTTTAGCTCCGTTCCCAACCCTCAAGCGTAGGATATTGGATTAGGCATTCCATAGCTACTTTTAAAAAAACACCCACCCACAGGAGAGCATTGCTACTGTAAACTTTATACAGTGGGTTTGAATTAAATATACAGTGAGGGAAAAAAGTATTTGATCACCTGCTGATTTTGTACGTTTGCCCACTGACAAAGACATGATCAGTCTATAATTTTAATGGTATGTTTATTTGAACAGTGAGAGACAGAATAACAACAAAGAAATCCAGAAAAACACATCAAAAATGTTATAAATTGATTTGCATTTTAATGAGGGAAATAAGTATTTGACCCCTCTGCAAAACATGACTTAGTACTTGGTGGCAAAACCCTTGTTGGCAATCACAGAGGTCAGACGTTTCTTGTAGTTGGCCACCAGGTTTGCACACATCTCAGGAGGGATTTTGTCCCACTCCTCTTTGCAGATCTTCTCCAAGTCATTAAGGTTTCGAGGCTGACGTTTGGCAACTCGAACCTTCAGCTCCCTCCACAGATTTTCTGTGGGATTAAGGTCTGGAGACTGGCTAGGCCACTCCAGGACCTTAATGTGCTTCTTCTTGAGCCACTCCTTTGTTGCCTTGGCCGTGTGTTTTGGGTCATTGTCATGCTGGAATACCCATCCACGACCCATTTTCAATGCCCTGGCTGAGAGGAGGTTGTTCTCATCCAAGATTTGACGGTACATGGCCCCGTCCATCGTCCCTTTGATGCAGTGAAGTTGTCCTGTCCCCTTAGCAGAAAAACACCCCCAAAGCATAATGTTTCCACCTCCAGGTTTGACGGTGGGGATGGTGTTCTTGGGGTCATAAGCAGCATTCCTCCTCCTCCAAACACGGCGAGTTGAGTTGATGCCAAAGAGCTCGATTTTGGTCTCATCTGACCACAACACTTTCACCCAGTTCTCCTCTGAATCATTCAGATGTCATTGGCAAACTTCAGACGGGCCTGTATATGTGCTTTCTTGAGCAGGGGGACCTGCAGGATTTCAGTCCTTCACGGCGTAGTGTGTTACCAATTGTTTTCTTGGTGACTATGGTCCCAGCTGCCTTGAGATCATTGACAAGATCCTCCCATGTAGTTCTGGGCTGATTCCTCACCATTCTCATGATCATTGCAACTCCACGAGGTGAGATCGGAGCCCCAGGCCGAGGGAGATTGACAGTTATTTTGTGTTTCTTCCATTTGCAAATAATCGCACCAACTGTTGTCACCGTCCCACCAAGCTGCTTGGCGATGGGCTTGTAGCCCATTTCAGCCTTGTGTAGGTCTACAATCTTGTCCCTGACATCATTGGAGAGCTCTTTGGTCTTGGCCATGGTGGAGAGTTTGGAATCTGATTGATTGATTGCTTCTGTGGACAGGTGTCTTTTATACAGGTAACAAGCTGAGATTATGAGCACTCCCTTTACCTGTATAAAAGACACCTGGGAGCCAGAAATCTTTCTGATTGAGAGGGGGGGTCAAATACTTATTTCCCTCATTAAAATGCAAATCAATTTATAACATTTTTGACATGCGTTTTTCTGGATTGTGTTGTTGTTATTCTGTCTCTCACTGTTCAAATAAACCTACCATTAAAATGATAGACTGATCATTTCTTTGTCAGTGGGCAAACGTACAAAATCAGCAGGGGATCAAATACTTTTTTCCCCTCACTGTACATATTAAGCCACAAGAATGTTATCAGCAGGGTTTTAATACTCAAGTGCTGCCAGTTGATAAGGCTTGCCTTGTGCTACTGATAGAAGTTTGTTCCCATAAGATGGATGAAGGTTGCTCTGACACAGGCTTGCTAGTGTGTGTAGATAGTGTTTAATGTCAGGCAGTAGATGGATAACAAAGTGTGATGTGAATGGGTCAAAAGGTGACATGAAATATGGTCTACATACAGTACTACAATGAGTGAACAACTAGCAGTGTTAGTTGACTCCATAATGAAAGCAGTGCTCATGGTTTAAACTGAGTGAGGAAGTGGAGAGAATCTCCAGGAAGGATAGGAAAATAATGACCTGAAGATCTGTTGATGCTGTGCTTATTCTGGCAAGTCTCCAAGTTACACTGAGCTCTGCTGTGCCAAAAAAAAAAAGTACAAGGAAACGTGCAAGCACACACACACAAACCATTGACACCAAAGTGGGAACTGACTGAAAGTTTATTTATATTACTGTTAAAAACATGTATAAAATTGGTCCTGTTCCAGAAACAAGGCACACAATGTCAATGTCTTGGTTCATCATTGCGATCTCAGGGTTTTAGTATCAAGCATTCCCTATATAAAAACACATCCAAATTTTACAGAACTTAAAATTCCGAGCAGCAAGACAACCATGCAAGAACTTGAGCGATGCAAACTGGATGCTTTCTAGTAGTACGTCTCCCTCTCCACCCAACCTAAAACAGAGAAGATAGAAAACAGGATTTAGAGATCAATTACCTCTGTCAAACAGGTGGACTAAGGAAGGCTATATCGTACATAAACAATGATCATGTTAACTATCAGTGTGTGGTTCAGATGATCACTGAGGAAGATAGTCAAGTGACCGACATCTTTAACATCAACTTCGTCTCTGATAGCATACCGGTTTAAATCACACCAAATGCATTTTATAAAGCCCTTTTTACGTCAGCAATTGTCACTGGAGTGGATTAGACTCCCAAACTTGTCCGTGTCCACTGTCTTGCACTGACTAGTGCATCGGAAAATTAAGCTGCTGCTTAAAGATTTAGACTTTGCTTGTTTGCCAGATAGGCTACCTAAATATGCAGCCTTACTATCTTCCTGAGAACAAGGGAAAAGCTTGTGGTTTTGAGAGCCAAACTGAGGACCTTAGGACTTGTATGAACAAGTACGGCAGCTCGCCCAGAAGTCTCTCATAGCCTCTAATGTAAAATATATTTTTTTCAAATTTCTGAGCTTTCAATACATTCTCTATGGGTGTCTGAGGGCTTGCACTTACGCGCTTTCGTCATACGTAACGTAACGTAACCATGAACGGCAGACAGCAACGCTTGGACAGCGACTGGTGTAACCGACATGCACCATCTTTCAGAAAAGATTAAGAAAAATGAGCTGTCAAAGACCCACATTGATAGCTGTTTGAGATTGTCTGCTTTGGTGAGAGTGAATATTGCCACTCAACTGGATGAGGGATACAGGCTAGCTGTCCGCCGCCACAACGATGAGGTTAGCAACAGCAGAGTCGTGAACACTGTCTACGAGAATCGAGACGACCTCATAGAATGTTTTGAAGCCATCCGGACGGGTTCATTGGGTTCATTTGACCAGCCCACCGTACCAGAAGCTACAGAAGAATAAGGACATCGATGCTGTCTTTATCAAACGTGCCCTCGACAGCTTCGCAAGCAGTGTGCAGGCCATAAGGTAAGATAAAGATTAAACAATATCATTCGATCTTTCTCAAAGCAGAGCTTTATTTGAAAATGTATGCATGAAAGGAGACTGCATTTGTGTTTGAAATTACATTATTGTCATTATATATGGCCAGTGGTGTAATCTATCTTATTTTATATACTATGTGTACTGTACAGTGGTGCTCATAAGTGTATGAACACATTCTAAAGCTGACTAAAAAGAGGAATAAAAAAATAAAAAAATCATCTTTTGGAAATTGATCTTAATGACTTAATTAAAAACGTTGGAAAATCCAACCTTTAAGGACACCAATTTTCTTTTCTTTTTTATTCCTCTTTTTAGTCAACTTTAGCATGGGATCATAAGCTTATGAGCACCACTGTATACTGTGCTGAACATCCAGGCTATGTGAGACACAAAGGCTAACTTAAACACTAAAGACTTTATGCATCCCTGCCCATTTTAAGTGGAACTGAAGTATTTGTACTATACATGGATACATTGCATATACCTGTGCATCACATAGACAACAATACTGTACAAAGCCAACAAACACATTGGTCTGTTTGCCTTCAGGGACTCCTCTCAACAGCAGCTGCAAGAAGCAACAGGAGCCAAAAGACCCAGAACAGCTTTGAGAGAAGAGGAGAAGCAGAGGCTGTCTGAAGAGGTCTGCAACACCATCCTGGATCACACCAAAGAAAGGTTCTCTTTCTCTGGCCACCTTGTGAGTGCTACCTTACTGCAAGCAGACATGTTTGAAAGGTACTGCCATTCAAAAAAATAAAAAATCTGTTCATGTTCATTTTTACAAATCTATACAATTGGCCAGAATATGGTTGTTCATATTTACAAATCTATACAATTGGCCAGAATATGGTTGTTCATTTTTACAAAGCCATACATATTGTTTATGCAGTGTTGAGGAATGTGAAAGAACACCCTTGATTATTTTTACTGTGATAACTTATTTTGCTTTTGTAAGCCAACACTTTTGAGATCAGTCAATAAATGCTTCTGGTATTGACTTATATGCTGCCCCTGTCTTCATGTTGTTGCTGGACATATCTTTTTAAAAATGTGTGTAGGTCACCTAAATCATCAGAAAAATTGCCCCTCCTGAGAATTTTTTCAGGAGCCGCCACTGCTCCATAATGAAAGCAGTGCTCATGGTTTAAACTGAGTGAGGAAGTGGAGAGAATCTCCAGGAAGGATAGGAAAATAATGACCTGAAGATCTGTTGATGCTGTGCTTATTCTGGCAAGTCTCCAAGTTACTGAGCTCTGCTGTGCCAAAAAAATAAAAATAAAGTACAAGGAAACGTGCAAGCACACATGCACACACACAAACCATTGACACCAAAGTGGGAGCTGACTGAAAGTTTATTTATATTACTGTTAAAAACATGTATAAAATTGGTCCTGTTCCAGAAACAAGGCACACAATGTCAATGTCTTGGTTCATCATTGCGATCTCAGGGTTTTAGTATCAAGCATTCCCTATATAAAAACACATCCAAATTTTACAGAACTTAAAATTCCGAGCAGCAAGACAACCATGCAAGAACTTGAGCGATGCAAACTGGATGCTTTCTAGTAGTACGTCTCCCTCTCCACCCAACCTAAAACAGAGAAGATAGAAAACAGGATTTAGAGATCAATTACCTCTGGCAAACAGGTGGACTAAGGAAGGCTATATCGTACATAAACAATGATCATGTTAACTATCAGTGTGTGGTTCAGATGATCACTGAGGAAGATAGTCAAGTGACCGACATCTTTAACATCAACTTCGTCTCTGATAGCATACCGGTTTAATCACACCAAATGCATTTTATAAAGCCCTTTTTACGTCAGCAATTGTCACTGGAGTGGATTAGACTCCCAAACTTGTCCGTGTCCACTGTCTTGCACTGACTAGTGCATCGGAAAATTAAGCTGCTGCTTAAAGATTTAGACTTTGCTTGTTTGCCAGATAGGCTACCTAAATATGCAGCCAGAAGTCCCACAGTAATAACTAAAGGGATTTAGCCTCACCTCCTGGGCTGCGTCGGATGATCAGTTTTCGGATTTCATCATAAATAAAGATGAGGAGAGAGTATGGGAAGGCGCAGAACCACCAGCTGGGTCTAAGGAGAAAAGAAAAACACAACATAAAACAAAAATAACAGATCAGAAATGACTCCAGACCGGAATACACCAAGAACAGATGTTAGTATTTTAAGCAACACATAGATAAGCTTAATAGAAGTCCTCCTAGGGTTTAGTCTTTATTGGAAAAATTGTTTTTGGTTGTACAAAAAAAACAAAAAGAGATGAAGTGTACCCAACTGTAGGGTCTTTACTTACTTGAGTGGGTACATTCTGAGAGCGATTCCCATTCCAGGACAGTAGGACAGGAAGGCGGCCAGGGCTGTCTCCTCAAACAGGCCAAAGATGAGAATCTTGTTCCTGAGGTGGACAGAAGCAGCATTTAAATCGTCCTTTCTTTGACAACAAAAACGAACAACAGCCGATGCTCTTCAAAATGGCCACTGAACTCACCTCATTCCCTGTTGGAAGACTGAGTTCCTCCTGGTCTTACAGATGATCAAGTCGGCCCACTGTACAACCACGATACTGGCGAAGAATGCTGTGTGGCAGGTGAACTCCACAATCTTTCTCTGTTCATAAGTCTGAGGGAAAGAAAGTCAGCAACAGAGGGAGAAACAGTCAAAACAGTCAGCTAATCATCTAGAAAATCAGACCAATCAACTAGGCTTGTGAAAACCACATTGTTGTCTGCATACTCACCCACTGCTGGCCATAGCTATCCTCCAGGTCGTTGCAAAATTTGTTGTCCCAGTCCACACGGATACCTAGCAGTCTGGAGGGTAAGAACCCGTTCTCAGCAAGGATCACAAAGTATGTGAAGAACCCAGCCAAGGCCTGGATCATACCTGTGGAGAGATGGGGAGACAGGATCAGATGGGTGCATTTGTATCAGATTCTGATTTTGCATTTGTATGTCATTCTGTCTGTTGGTTTTTCCATGTTGCACCAATCTCCATAAATAATTAAATAATTGATTGTCAGATACACCGGATAGGTGCAGTAGAATGTGATGTTTTACAGGGTCAGCCATAGTAGTACGGCGCCCCTAGAGCTAATTAGGGTTAACTGCCTCGCTCAAGGGTACGTCGAGAGGTTTTTCACCCTGTCGGCTCAGGTATTCGAACCAGCGACCTTTCAGTTACTGGCCCAACACTACAGTGATTACCAAGGAGTATCACATTGGTGGGAGACGTTCGCGACCCATGATATGATGCAACAGCAGTATGTGAATGCTGTCCATATCAGTGTTTCCTCTTAAGGAAAGTCCTGCTCACATGGAAACCTCTGAGTTAAACCTATTTTTGTCTCCATCAGCAAAGTGGGAAACTCTTTGAGCCAGAGACATCCCATCATCACTCAGAGACCCCTTCTCTTATCACCAGGGAGGCGATTTCTGACGCATACCCCACTCCCAGCTAATCCCAAAAACACCCAGTCAACTTAAAGAGTCTATAATCCACTTTGAGGTGTATGAGATGTTCATCTAAGAATGAAAATACTTTGTTTTGCGCAAGTCAGGCTTTGTGAAAAGGGGTCTTACCGATTTGACCATAGGCTATGCTGATAAGTCTTTCGTTCACCAGTTTGTCTGTTTTGGAGTTTCTGGGCTGTCTCTTCATGATGTCGCTCTCGGCAGCTTCGTAGGCCAGAGAGATAGCGGGGACCTGGAAAGTTGAGGAGGATTTTAAGAATTAGAATAAAGCAGAACGGTAAACAAAGAATTAGAAAAAAAATTCTTAAAAATTTACAAAATCCTCACCATGTCAGTTCCCAAGTCGATACAGAGGATGGTGACGGTTCCTAGGGGCAGTGGAATGTTGGCGATGATGAAGAAGAGGAAGGGTGTGATTTCTGGAATGTTACTGGTCAGGGTGTAGGCGATGGACTTCTTCAAGTTGTCAAAGATCAGACGACCTAGGAAAGGTACATAACGTTAGTGAAAATAATGCATAATAGACGGAACCCCAAAAATTCTAAATCCACTGAAATGCTGCGTCTACCTTCTTCGACACCAGTCACGATGGAGGCAAAGTTGTCATCTAGGAGGATCATGTCGGCAGCCTGCTTGGAGACATCCGATCCAGAGATACCCATAGCAACACCGATGTCAGCCTTCTTCAGAGCAGGAGAATCGTTCACACCGTCACCTGTCACAGCCACAATAGCGCCCTGTTGATAAGGAGGAAAGGTGTTTGAGTCTAAGGAGAGACAGGAGTCTAGAGAGAGAAAACTGGTAAACACATTTGTAATTTTAAAGGAATTTATCTACGCTACATTCACTCTGTTTACTTCTCTTGTGAGATAGGCCTAGTGTCTTTAAGTTGAGCTGAATATTACCTGGCGCTGGCAGCCCTCCACGATAATAAGCTTCTGCTGAGGAGAGGTTCTGGCAAACACAATCTCTGTGTGATATTTGAGGATGTCGTCCAACTGTTCAGCGCTCAGGTCCTTGAGGTCACCGCCATGGACCACACAGGCCTTGGCATCCCTGAGAAGAATTGACCCTTTATTTTTTTGAAATCCCATTGAAATAAAGACATTTCTATAATGTCTATAAGAGCTCATGAGAAGGCCTTCAAAACGGAAAAATGTTGCGAAACTTTCCAACAACAGAACTTAAATACTTTTTTTGTATTACCTGGGGTCAACTTCGTTGACTGGAATGTTCAGACGAGCAGCGATGTCCTCAACAGTCTCGTTTCCTTCAGAGATGATGCCCACACCCTTGGCAATGGCCTTAGCAGTGATGGGATGATCACCAGTGACCATGATAACCTAAGGGAAGGAAGGGAAGAGGAGTGGTCTGATCACAGTGGCTGCTATGTGTATTGACTGAAGAGTCTTGTGTCACGTATTACATTACCATACCTTGATTCCAGCACTCCTGCACTTGCCCACAGCGTCAGGCACAGCAGCACGGGGAGGGTCAATCATGGACATTAGGCCAACGAAGCACAGATTCTCAGTTGGGAAGTTCACCTCTTCACAGTCAAACTGGAAGCCCTCAGCAAACTGGTCATCAGGGAGCTGGAAATGACAGAAACCTAGAAGGATACAAAATGGTAAAAATGTGAATTGAAAAAAGGAGCAAAAGCACAATTGTACAGCTCACATTGGATCATTTCACAACACAGATGGAATAACAAAAAATACAGTAGTATTGACTAGTGATGACTGAAATCAATGACTATTACCCAGCACTCGCTCTCCCAGACCACCCAGTTCCATGTAGGCGTTCTGGAAAGAGTCTTTCAACTCATCATCCAGAGGCTGTTCTTTGCCCTGGATCAAAATGGTGGAGCAGCGGTCCAGGATCCTCTCAGGGGCTCCCTTCATCACCAGCAGGTGCTTGGACTCACCCTCATTCTTGTTTAGGTGAACGGAGAGCTAAGGGATACAATTATAGGGGCAGCCATTTTAAAAACAGATTACCAGAATAGGGATAACCATTTTGATCTCTTTGCCAAAAGGAAGGGTGAAAGACTTACAGTGAAACATATATCCTTATTTAGTGTGGCAGGTTGCTACCCTGCCATTGACCTACCTGATATTTGTTGGTGGAGTTGAATGGGATCTCAGCGACCTTGGTGTACTGGTCTCTCATGCCTTGCACAGACCCACAGCACAGCTCGATACACTTCAGCAGGGCAGACTCTGAGGCATCACCAGCCACATCTCTCTGCGAGGGGGAAACAAGTAGGAAGATGAAGGGACGTGGTATGCTGCTGGTGCACACTCTCTTTCACACACTAGCACCTCCGAGGACCCGAAGTATCCTTCCATGCCCCAAGACATTAAAACGCTCTCCATCAATTTAAACAGATTTTATAAGAAGGACATCTTTGTAGATTGAGCCTGGTAGAAGAAGACAGACGGTGACAAAGAGAAACTGAAAGCAAGGGGTGGAATTAAGTGTGATAATCACAGCTAGTCCAAGGCGAGATGATTAACGGAGAGTGGAAATGAGAGGTTATATTCCAGGGGATTGCAAGGGCTGAGGCGATACGAGGCACTCAGGCGACACGGGGGACCCAAGGGACAGGGGAGGAATTACATAAGGTGAAAGACAACCCTGTTGTGCCTTTTCAGCAGCTTTACATGATGAACTCCTTTCGATAGCTCCATGTGTATACTGTTGTCAATTCACTCTGGGGAAATGGAACATTAAAAAAAGACTCACTTTAAGGATAGGAATACCGCTCTGTTCTGCCAGGAAGACGGCACGGTTACACAGGCCAGCGACTCTAGCCAGGGCAGCCCAGGTGGCAGAGCTCCTGTCGAAGGAGGTACCGCTCTGGTTCTCTGTGGTGTCAGCCTCATGGATCTGGTTGTCGAACCACATGTGAGCCACGGTCATTCTGTTCTGGGTCAGGGTTCCGGTCTTGTCAGAGCAAATGGTGGAAGTGGAGCCCAGGGTCTCCACAGCTTCAAGATTCTTCACAAGGCAGTTCTTCTTGGCCATACGCTTGGCAGTCAGAGTTAGACACACCTACAGAGAAAGGCAAAAGTCACTTAACATGACTGTCAAATAAAATTGGCAATGTACTGGTTTTTGGAGCCATATGTGAAGTGTTTGAAAAAAGCACTCCCGAAAGACAGTACTCACAGTTACAGTGGCCAGGAGACCCTCAGGCACGTTAGCGACAATGATTCCGATGAGGAAGATGACAGCCTCCAGCCAAGAGTATCCAAGGATGAGGGACAGGACGAAGAAAGACATGCCCAGGAAGACGGCCACACCAGTGATTATGTGGATGAAGTGCTCAATTTCAATGGAGATTGGGGTACGTCCGACTTCCAGGCCAGAGGCGAGGGTAGCAATACGACCCATAACAGTGCGGTCACCAGTGTTGATGACAATACCTCTGGCAGTTCCTGCAGGAAATAACAATCATATTTACTACTGTTGAACAGCACAGCTGACAGTAATTCAACCTCAGAAATAGTTGAAATTCTGTATACAGCTACAGGACTTCATCAAAGCTGGCCCAGTCATGGTTTGTTTTCTTTTATTTATTTGTCAGGGACCATGTACAACATGCCCTTGCACCATATGTAGCTAGATAGCTAATTTTCAACTGTAGTCCCTGGGAAGAAAACATTTTATTAGGTTTGTTTCTCATCTGAGCAACTCTGCTCTGTTAAAGTACCTTCAACACAGTTGGTAGAGAAGAAGGCAATGTTCCTCGTCTCCAAGGGGTTGTCATTGGAGAAATCCGGAGTACGTGTCTGGGGCTCAGATTCACCAGTGAGGGAGGAGTTGTCCACCTGAGTGGGGAGAGAGAATAAGATTAATACAATAATGAATGGCACAGACGTGGGCGGAATGTGACGTATTTGAAGCAAGGGGATTTTAAAGTACCCACTTTGCAGCCGCTGGCAGAGATGATTCGCAAATCAGCGGGAATCCTGTCTCCACCTTTCACCTCCACCAGATCTCCAACCACCACTTGTTGAGCGTTGATGTTCATCTTCTCACCGTCACGGACAACCAGGGCTTGCTACAAGGCAGAGGATAACAAGATTCATCTTTAGATTTAACAATAAGAAAAAAATACGTAAACATAAGTGTTTCTAAAAACAGGTAGTACCTGTGGGACCAGGTTCTTGAAGGAGTCCATGATCTTTGAGCTCTTGGCCTCTTGGTAGTAGGAGAAACATCCAGTGACAATAACGACAGCAGAGAGTACAACACCCAGGTACAACTGTGTGGGACAAAGATGCAGAACGTGTTAAAATTAAGTAAACTCCCCACACAAACACCAGTACAAAAGTTCTACAAAACCCAAGCATCATCTGCTTCCAATTCCATCAATGTCAATTAAAATCAACATTCTTCATCTTAGATTCTTACGTTATCATTGGCCGGCTCATCCTCCATGGCTGCCTGGATTCCGTAGGCCAGGAAGCAGAGGAGAGCGCCAGTCCACAGCAGCATGGAGAACCCGCCAAACATCTGCTTGCAGAACTTCACCCACTCAGGGGTAGTGGGAGGAGGGGTCAGGGAATTGGGGCCATCACGGGCAAGGTTCTCGGCAGCCTTAGCACTGGATAACCCCTGAGGAAAAACAACATTGTTTGTGTTACGTTACATGTTGAGGCCTCAAATTAGGATGCTGTAGGATGACTTTATTTTAAAGGAATGGGTGCTCCCCTCCCACCCAATCTTTTAAGGTGATACCATTATTGACCCTTGCTATAGTCAGGCATATCTAGCCCCCCCTTCTTGAGATTCTCTTTTGTGCCACATGATAAAGGAGAGGAATCAAATTGTCAACAATAATATCTCTCAGTGGTAGACAGACACTACAGGGCCAAGTCATAACTCTAATTTCACATAAGGCAGAGAACAGAGAAACAAGTCAATGGGGCTCTGGAGAGAGTCGAGGTGCTGGCAGTTGCCAGGCAACTCGCTGCAAACAATGAAAACAGGGCCATCTCCTCTGCTGGGTTTGAGCGCATCCTAAATCTGGGCTGAGGTGTTACGAGCCTGCTGCTTGTGAATTATTCAAAAGGACCGCTCGGCTGCTAAGCTGTGCTACCAAGTTTGGAGGCGGTAAGCTACTATTCAAGAGTTCATTTGCATGGATGTAAAAGGGGGATAGTATTGCCTCCCCTCTGATCGCCTTGGATGTTTTTCACGTCCAATTCTATGATAAACCGTGGAAGAAGGGGGTTAACAATTGGAAGAGATCCCAAGAGTCCGAAACCCATAACTTGAGCAGAACTTTTCAATTAATAATTGAAACTATACGAATTGAGGAGAACCGAGCTGAATTGGTCGATAAGCAACTCATTTGTTAACAGAAAACAGTGCAGGGGAGATGAATGAATCGTCAACTGAAATGAAAATGAGTAATGAGTGAAGCGCCAGACTTACCCTACTAAGGTCGGTGCCGTATTTGCGGTTGAGCTCATCCAGGGTCAGTTTATGGTCATCCTATTGGACGGAGATTAGGAACATGTCACTGACAATCGTATTGCACTGAACCTCTGCACTCTGAATGCGTTCGGACACTTAACGCCAAGGTTTTCATGTTTACTCAAGATTGCTATCAAGATAAACATACAGTACATTACGTGCGTCTCCAATCTTGACACCAACACATGAGTTACCAAGACTCAGTTCCTGAAAGACATGATGAAAGTGAGAGAAGCCGACTCACCAGATCAACTTCCTTTTTCAACTCATCCATGTCCCTCTCCTTCTTCATGGCCTTGGCATTCTTCTTCTTGCCTCCCTGCTCAGAGGTCGCCGCCAGCTCATACTGTTCCCGTCCTTCCTACAGAGAGAGGGCGAGAAGAGATTGTTAGGAGAGAACATCAAAAAATATGTATATAATACAAACAAAAAGGTAGAAAGAGGCCATTTAGAGCTCTGCATGAGAAAATAAAATCAACTCATGCTAAAGCCACTGATGCAGAATCAGTTTTCATAGTAATGTATAGTTTTCCATAGTGCTTCAGAGGCATGCATAAAACCCAAGTCTGGGGGCCCACTCTTGAAAGATAACTCATTGAGTCAATATGAGAGACTCACACATTTGAATAAAGGATAAAATGCTACTTTGTTTACAAATGACTTACCAGAAGTCACCCAACGACTTGTGGGATATTGACGTAGCATTGTTCTACTGAACGTAACCCCAGTTAACATTTACAAAACAAACGTGACCTAGACAGGTATGGTGCAACAGGTGCAAAGATAGTCCAAAGGGACAATGGCCACAACTATCACCTGGTAGGCTTTCACCTTTTAGCGTCTATGACCTGTGATAGATAGCCCAATTACTTTCACTACTCAGCAGAAGAAAGTCAGACGTTTTAAAATGGCATCTGTCTGAAGATCATGAGGAATGCTTAATGAACAATCATGGTCACAGAATGTCACTTTGCTCAACTGCATCAATAAGAAGACCTGTGGGAGGGGTGGGGCTGAGGGTAATTTCAACATATTCCACTGTAATCCGGGAATGTCAGACTATTAGGCTCTATGTCACAATACCTTGTCCAGAATAGGGGTAAAATGAACTCTCCATAGGGGAAAAGATGCACACCATTGGCTCTGTTGTCTTGAGTACACACAGAACTTTCTTCTGGAGTCATCTCATTGTGAAAGTCCAAAATAACCCTGGCGCCTCACCTTCTGCAAACAACACATTGTTCATTCACTCTTCCCTTTCTCCATTATCAACCTGTCACTTTTGCGGAAGAGGACAAAGACCTGTTGAAGAATGCTCGTCGGCTAGACAACTGAAAAGGGGAGGGCGTTGTGACACTGTACCAGCCAGGTGCGGCAACAGGATAATGCACAGTACCAGATAAACATCGGTCAGGCAGTTAGCGATCATAAATTATTCAGGTTATACTGGTGTTCAGAAGTGTTTTGGCTGTGGAGGAAAGAGCTCTACATGCTTTTCTTGATTTGACCCTATGGGGTTACACAAAAGCTGCTTGACTGTAAGGAAGACAGTTCCTGGTTCAGAATGTGATCCCCAAGTCACAGGGGCATGACTGATTATCAAACTTTGTTTGGTTACAACTGAATCCAACATAAGGGGTCCTACTAGTTTTTTTTTGCTGTTGGAACACTAAAGGGTAGAGGTGGAACGACAAGTCCTGCTGGCGTCTTCCGGGCCCCCTCAAGGAATCTGTTGTCGCAGTCCCCTGTGGTCTTTCTATTAGTTGACAGGCACATTGACTTGCCCTTCTTGGAAAAGCACCCCCCCCCCCCTTCCTACTAATACTATTTAGAAATATCCCTTTTACTTTCCCAATATTGTACAGATCAGTTATTACCACAATGAAGCGAGGCTGCTGCTTTGAAAGTATTACTCAGCTGTCTTTCAAACTTAACAGGAGGCTACTGCACTGAAAACAGGAAAGAAGCGTGGATTTCAGCAATGGTGTTGAATCTCTCACAATACCGATCACGCAAACACAACAGTTGTCCCGCTACAAGCCTGAGAACAATGAGGCTTTGTACCTCTGTTTAGGATGAAAAACGGGGCAGAGAAATATCTTTAGAGTGACTTTATTCTGGACACAAACTGTACAGTCACAGAATTTATTCAGACCCTGTTAGCAAAACACTTAAGATACCAGTCTTACCGCATTCTTACGTGGGATTACTGTAATGATTTGATCTGGGAGTGGGAGCAACACCACTGTGGTAAACAGGCCTTGGGTCTGCATGCCATTTTCCCCATAGTTTAGGGTAGTATATTCAACTGCGTAGTCGTTGTTCTCATTAACGTTGCATATGGGAGTGAGTGAGTAATAAGTCAGGGAGAGAAAAAAAAAAGAACGGTGTGTGAAAGAGAGAGAAAGTACGTAGGGTGGGTGGAGAAGGGGGTGAAGCCGGCAAGACTTCCCTTTCAAAGAGGACAGAACGAACCAGTTTGAAAGAACGACAACCGTCCTCATAAAAACAACGGCGATAGACATATTATTATTATAGAACAGAGCCTCAGTGAGACGAGGGGCCTCTCACTTTTACGCTAAAACAACACCACCGCCAGCTCAACAAAAGTTCATAAGAGACGGTCGAACGGGTGCATATTTTACAGCCAGGGTCGAATTCCTGTGAACACCATTCCTGGTTCTGTTCCTGTACGTGTGCCAAATACAAAAGCTGCTCACTCAAGCATATTGGCTCCTCCTCACCCTGGGACTTTGCCCCGTTGCTACAGGCGACATAACCACACCTCTCAGATATCTGAATGGACAGAGTCACGTGTTACTCTCCTCCCCCTTTTCTCTCCCTCTTCAGTTTAGAAAAAGTACATTTATTCACAAGAAACATGTTTAAAACTCCCACCACGTCCTCTGGAAGAGTCACTGTTCCCAAACAGAACAAAAGATGGTGAATGCCAGTGTTTCTCCTTAAGACCCCAGGAACCACAGTTAAAAGCATAATACAAATCAATGGGATGCAACTTCCTCGATTGCGTTGTGAAATGTAGGTTAGAACAGAACGCACGTGGCTATTGCGAAATGCCGATTGTGAGTAGGCCTATGTGAAAAATGTTTTTAACAAAAGTATTTTTTTTAAATTCCTCGGCAGTTGGAACAATAGAAATTACCGTGGAGGAAACTGAACGTGTAATACTCTCCATATTGTTTAGGCAGCTAAGCTAAACCGGAGCGCGCGCACGCAGAGAGAGAGAGACTGTCACAGAGATGGGGTGGCGTGTGACAAAAGGGATGCCTAATACATAGTGACCGTTGAGCGGAAAGAATGTTAAATCCTCAGGGGAGAGAGAAAGAGAGAGCGCAAAATAGAGGAGAGAGAGGATGAGCAACCAAAAATAAGAAGAGCGCTAGGGAGCGAGAGATCGCAGGTCTCTTGGTTCCACAGTGGACCCCTGGGGGGAATGAATGATCAGCTGAGGCCACAACCTGATAGCAGCTCAGAGGTGGAACACCGGAGAGAAATAAAGAAGTCCCCAATTACACCGCCAAATAAAAAGGCCTTGTTTTGGACATATTCTAGACCTCATTTGTTTACAGTGGAGATTTTCCACAAGCCACTTTCCATCGCACTCAGTGGTGGAATTTTTAAAACAATGACCCCCCCCCCCCCCCCCTTGATGAAAAATGTTCGAGAAAATAAGTGGAAAAACAAAGAAAGAATGCCCCCTAATAACGTTACAGGAAAACGGCCTTGTTTTCAGATCATCACAGTTTATTTTGAGAGATGGAAACAATAGCCATAGTATTCAATTTTGGGAAGGAACTTTTGTGCGTTCCAATTTGTTGACAGTAAGCAGTTGTATCCCATCATGCCTCTTGCTTTTCCATTTCATTACAGAAAAGTGAGAATAAAGCTGCATTTTTACTCCACTCAATCAGTTCAGAAAAATTCAGCCAGCTCCCCTCTGAACTGGAACCTATGAATGATGACAATGCAGCAACTGGTGCCTCCCATCTTCACAGCAGTCTCCCTTCCTTCCAAATACCTCACCACTCTCTTACCACCCCTTGCTCCCTCCATCCCTATACCACCCTCATTCTCTCCCTGTACCCCTCACTCCCCCCTCTCTCATGCCTCTCTGTGGACTCCTGGAAATCATTAGTCCGGCTGTTCAAGCATCTGTGCCTATTGCGCGTGTACTGGACCGGAGAGAAGGGGTGGGCTCAGAGTGTTCACCACCATACAGGGAAAGAATCAAAAACAACACTTGGAGGTTTGCTGCTCTGCATTCACATCATAAAACAAATCTGTCTCTCTAGCCACCCCTCTCTTACTGTAGCTGTGAATGCATAATTGAACACTGTGCCTGTATAATCAGTTGCCCAGCAGGGAGTGGCGAGCCTTTTATATGATGCGATTACCCTCCCCGATATCCCACCAGTCTGCCATACAGTAGTCAATACAGTACCCAAATATAGGAGTCACAGGTAGCTGTAAAAAACTACTAAATAATAAAAAAAACATTTATAAAAAATAAAAATCACTCCAATAATTGATACATTTTCCATCACCATAAATTGCAGGTAGTTATTTTGACAGGTGTGATGACAAAAACTATATTGCCTTCAAGAGAGAGGAATATACAAAAAAATATATAGTGTATTGAACATCATTGGAGCAACTGGGTGATTTGATTTGTCTTGGACCGATTTGTATCAAATTTAATACAAACATTTTTTTTAAAGCAATCGCTTTCATTAATAAATAAGGGGGCTGTAGTTGATGTAGGTATTCCCAAATACACTTTGTAGGCCTATCTTTCTGAAAAGTTAACATTCACAGACTGTAGGCTAGGCTACACAAGAAATGTCATACACAACCATATGCCAAATCCTTATGCGACCATGTAGCCTTCAGGAGGAATACTTTATTTTTATTTTTTAAGAGATTTTGTAGGAGCTCAAATGTTATGAAGGGACAGTTCGCTATTTCCCCCCCCCCAGAGTCAGATGACGTCGTGGATACCATTGTTAGGTCTCTGCGTCCAGTATTACGAAAGTTAGAGGTAGTTTCGTGAGCCAATGCTAACTAGTGTTCGCGTGTTCCCATAGACTTCAAGTCATTGCGCTAACGCTAGCAATTTCCTTCAAACTGAACGCAGACATAAAAATGGTATCCACGAGTTCATCCGACTCTGGGAAAGTAGATGAGGACTTCGTGCTAAAAATCCAGAACTATCCCTTTAAGCAGCCACGGTGACTTATTCCAACGTAGGCTAGCTACATAAAAATAAACAACTACATTCGTTCAACGACCATGAAAAAGAACTTTGGCGCATGAATGATATTGTGACAGTAGGCTGGACTACGGTTATTATTCAAAACAGAGACTTTCGCAATAACCTACAGTCGCAACTACATTTAACCAATTGATTAGGAATCTGAATATTACATATTTCTCATTGATTAACATACAATTCAGTCAAGCGGGTTACAAGTCACTATGAAAGACTCATTGAAACAAAGACCACTTCTATTTAGAAGTGTGCTACAGGCTCTGGATGACCGTGTATCTCAAAGTAACAAGTCACAAGATAGCATGTCTGACCCCACTTCCCGCAACTCGAATTTAAACAGGCCACGCTACATTTGTAGCCACCTTTGTGGCTGTTTACTTCGATGAAAAGAAACATTGTATCAATCTTCAAACTTCTCTTAAACCGCCAATTCTATCATCGCAGAGTTTACAAGCTTTTCTCAATGGCGACTAGATCCAACCTAACCAACCTGTGGATCTTCAGTATCAATGTAAAAAGAACACGTTTTTAACCCTAATTGACACTCGATCAAGACACTGTATGAAAGCAACTTTTGTTCAGCCTACAAAATGCGGAAGTCACTTTCCCATCGCAGGCATTTTGAAAAAATGCGGCCATCTACGTACATGTGATAATTTGAAAACAACTTCGTTTTGTTTTCAACAACCCCCTGTATTATAATAATAAAAACTCCATACCACTTTAGTAGCCTACAATTAAGAATAGCGTAAATTAGGCTACAGTAGAATTTCATGGAGGAGCTGGAATGTGAAGATGGAAAGAAAAAGCGCACTTACTCCACGTCCCATGTTTGCAGTTTTGTGGAGGAAAAAAACGTATTGAACAATCAAATCCCAATTTACTTAAAACGATTTGAAAAATGTATTGCCCCAGGATGTGCCCTTATCCACACGTGTCACTCCTCCCGGACACGCATCCAAGCTCCCCGTCTCATTAAAACGTCCAATACTTATATACAGTGTTCTTTCGATCGTGACGTCTGCACTTTTTGCCATGGTAACATAGAATGGAGGGGCGGAGTCCCCATTATTGAACGTTTTACGATTATCGGCCTTCATAAAGTACGATTGAATCCATGGCGTGACAATGGACTTTAGTCTCTGTAACTTCAAATATTTCTGAAGGAAAGTCACTTGTTTTCTTCTGTGCAGGCTTATTCATATCAGGATGAAATCTCTGTCAATATCTCTCACCACTCCTATTCATAATGGGTACTAGCCTATCCTCAATCCTCTTTAAGAATATCTCTACATTTTTTGTTTGTCCCTTTTCTCTTAATTTCCCCATAGATTTAAGAATGAACATTATTTAAACACACGCACACATACTCACTCACTCTTTCTCTCTCAATCGCTCTCTCTCCCTTCATTCAACTTATTTTAACCTCATTTATGGAAAGCGATCATTTCAATTTAAACTCCATCACTGGTCTTTAGGAAGTTTAAACTAGAACGAACCAGGCCGTTAAACCCCGGAGGATGTAAACTTCCCTCCTGACCCTGTCATGAACACTTCGTGGACAATGTGACCTTGTCAGAAGAGTAATGGAAGCCTGGAAGATGGCAGGTTGTTGCATCTACAAATTATTAACTCTTTAACTGTGGCATCATAACCATTAACCCCGTCTCAAGGTCCTGTTTTATGTCTTAACTTCACCCTTCAGTTCGGACTCCAGTAGGAGTGCTAATCTAGGATCAGTTAACCTTTTAGATCATAGTGAATAATATTATATGGACAGATCCTAGATCGGCACTCCTAGTCTGAGTTGCTTTGTGGATACAGGCCCAGGTATTTCACGGCAGAACCGGACAGAGGCAGATTCAACCACATATCTATAGCTCACTGTAATTAGTGTAGCATTCTACTTGTGTGAGGTAGAATAGAATAGAAGAACACATTTTTATTGTCCACCCAAATATCAACCTTTCCCTTTGGCTTCACCCTACAATAAGACAATCTACATTTTTAAAAATAATTAGCATTACATACAAACTCTAATGAAAACACATTCACTCAGACACTGACATTTCCACCACCAGTGACAGGTCAACTAAAGTCGAAGAAAAACCCTTCGAAATGCTAATTATATTGAATTTAATATTTTTATACACAAGACTTTGCTTCATGATTTATGCCGATGTACAGTATCATCTAGGGCTTGTTGTACCCAAGAAGCTGCTTGAAAGCATTAGCATGAATTCTACTTGGAGAGACTTGATGGACAGATGGACAGACAGCAGCACACTCAGGCACAGTGTGTGTGTGTGTGCATGTTCAAAGACAGAACTAAAAATATCTCAAATTGTATATACAAGCTGTGAGCCCGATCCTATAAATGAGTTGCCATGGAAACTATCACGTTCCTGTCGCTGCGGAGCGAGCGAGAGGACGCGCCTCTCTCTTTATCTGCATAAAGCCCCCTAGTGGGGAAGAAATACCAGTCAACACGTTGGTCTCAGAGTAGGATGAAGCTGTCCCTAGTAGGCCTATAGACTGATCTAAGTCAGCTTTGCATTTGACCCATACACAAATCCAAACAAATCCAGGCTTTCTTTCATATAACAACACCATTGTTTTGGTTTAAGTTGCTCCCTTTTCACTGTATGCATCAAACAGCAGGTGATAATATGTTATTTTTCAGTCGGTACTCTCGGTACAACACAACTATGGGGAGTAGCACTCTCGCGACTTCGATTGAAGAAATAAAATCACGGCTGACAAGGCCAATGAAATCCGCACCTCGCTGGAAGCCTCGGCTTCCACAGGTAATAAGCCCGAGGTTCAGATTAATTCCTTCAATTCTTCTGCTCTTCACCTCGATGTGAGCAGGAACGATTCACGCTACTAAAAACAAACATTTTTGGAACACAAGACAATCTGACTTTGTGGTAGAGTGTGCTCACACCCTGGACATTGTGTGCTGGAGTTTTGTATTTGTTCTCCTAGCTTCTTGTAGCAATGAGATTAAGATGGCTAACAAGCTGGGTTCGGGTCGCAACAATGCCTGAATGAATACAAATATAGTAATGTTTGTTGTCTTGTATGTCTCGGCTCGGTGCATGCTCGGACGGTGTCAGTTACAGTTGCTTGCCCGCTTCCCCTAGTCCACGGCGCCGGTTCTCTTGACAATCGTATAGCATTCTTGAGGGGGCTTGGTCTTTCCGATAGTGACTTCCTCTCCCGGGTGCCCGTACCTCGGCTGAGTCTGAGTTGCGGGATGCGGAAATGGATTGGGTCTTTGGTCGGAGCAAACTTCTTATCTGTATGTCAGTGGTGGCGTACATCAAGCGATGGGGGGAGACTCAGTCTCTTCCTCTTAATCTTGGGGCTCGCTCCCTATTGCTGGGGAGAAGTGCGTGCACATGCACTCTCTTAGGGCAACGCATGTCCCCGGTTGCCTCAACTCAGGTGCAGATCTTCTATCCAGGTGGGGCCCTCTCTCTCAGTAGTGGAGGCTACACCCCTGGCTGGCTTCCCGAATATGGGAAATGTTGGGCAGGGCCGACGTAGATCTTTGTGTGTCACGATAAAATGTGCATTGTCGTCTCTTTATCCGTATAAGTGGCAGGCGTTGGGGCTTTTGTGCAAAATAAAGGAATTGTTTGTTTTCAGAGTGCACATGGGGACATTTTAATGTCCCTACATGAGCTTTTTGAGCAGGGTTGGTCATTCTCCACTTTGAAAGTGTTCATGGCGGCTATTTCAGCGTGTCATGTGGGAATTGATGGCGCCACTAGCCCTTGCGGTGTGGTTCCTAAAAGGTGTGTGCCGTCTCATACGGGTTTCTAAACCTATTTTGCCCATTTGGGATTTAGGTTTGGTTTTGGATGCTATGTTTGAGGCCCCCTTTTGAACCACTGGAGTCTGTGGATCTGAAGATCCTCTCCTACAAATCCTCCTTGCTCGTGGCCCCTGGCGACTCTAAGGTGACGTTGCATCCTAATGGCGCCTTCGCCCCAAAGGTCATGATTATGCCCTACAGGTCTCTAGCTTTGAGCTATTTCCCTTTTCGCCTCCTCCATTTGCTCTGAGAAGCAACTGCAGTTACATGCCTTGTGTCCAGTACAATATTTGCGCACGTACATTGAGCGGACCCGGGATATCCGGTTATGTGACCAGCTTTTTGTCTGTTTTGCTAATCCAGCTCAAGGCTCTCTAAGCAGCGTCTCTCCCATTGGATTGTGGAGGCTATCTCCCTGGCATATGGCAGCCAGCAAGGGGCAACAGTTACCTGGCGGTGTACACACCCACTCCACTAGAGGTCTGGCAGCATCTTAGGCATTATTTAAAGGGTTGACTGTGGGGGATATTTGTGCTGCGTGAGTTGGGCATCACCACACACTTGGTGGTTACAGCTGGGACAGGAAAGGGTATGCACAATACATGTGGTAGAGAGGTCAATGGAACTTGACCAAAACAATGGAAATGTAATGGAAACGTGTGGGGGAAAGATGCTGTGAGGGAAAGATCCTGAATCTCCTCATTGCCCCCCAGCAAAATTAGCCTACATTTAGGCTATTGTTTATATGTGTATTTCTCACTATTTTGAGGTAAAAATCTGAGTACAATCTTGTTTGGATGTCAACCCCGATACATGTTCATGTCATTATCACCAATCCACTGCATTACAGTTAAAAACGACTTTGGCTATTCCACTGATTTCTCTATGCTAGCTATGCTACCAGATTATACGAATGGGAGTTAGCATTTAGCAGTCACGTCTTCTAAACCTGAAAATGGACGACTCATAAATGTTATGCAGCGAAAACAGCCCAATATATCCAAACTGGCCTGTTACAATACATCAATCATGACAGATTTGATGAGTATCCTAGCCTAGCAGTTAAGCTCGTTGGGCCAGTAACTGAAAGGTTGTTGGTTCGAATCCCCGAGATGTCTATGTGATAAATCTGCCGATGAGCCCTTGAGCAAGGCACTTAACCCTAATTGCTCCTGTAAGTTGCTCTGTATAAGAGCATCTGCTAAATTACTAAAAAGTAATGTAAATGTCGATTTGTTGAATGTGTGCCAATCCCCCATGGTCTGCGTTCCATTGTCCTCTTTACCGGATCTATACCCAGACTACTGCATCTTGCTGGGTCTGCCATGGGCCATTTCATTTGGTATCCGTTGGTATAAAAGTTCTACCTGTTTATGTCATAAATAGTTGGTTTTCAAACACTATGAGATTTGCGGTGATGTGGAGAACAAGAACATACCCTCCCTCTGTCTAGAAACTTGTTGCAGGTTTTGAAAATCACTGTAAAAATAAATAAAAATAAAGTTTAATCATGGGTTTGAACCGGTTCAGGGAACAGAACAGAAAACCGGAAAAAAAACTAAATTTTTCGAGGAACATCTATACTGTTCTGGAACAGAACCGTTATTTTGAAAGCATGGTAACCAGTTAATAACGTTATTTTACGTTCCGGGCATTTTCAGTCTCACAAAAAATGCAACAAAGCGCCTATGCAAAGCCCTCACTCTGTCACTCAGAAACTTATTTCAGTGTCTGCCTGCCAGCTGAAAATCTTTGCCAGTGTGTGTGTGTGTAGGATACCTGCCCATCCCCCTCCGAAGTATAGGTTACTGTAGCCTACTGACATTACAAGCGTGATTCAGAATTAGGGAGAGAGATTTTTTATTAACTTTTTCAATGCTAGTTAAGGATACTATAGTTATCACGTTTCACATTGGATTTATTAACTACAAAATTGTATTTCTGGTGCCGCTCTGCACACACAAGCTTGTTGGTGTCACACCCTGGCTCTGGGACTCTATATGTTGAGCCAGGGTGTGTTCATTCTATGTGTTCTGTTTCTATGTTGGGTGTTCTAGGTTGTGTATTCTATGTTTGCCTGAGTGACTCCCAATCAGAGGCAACGAGTGTCAGCTGTTGGCTGGTTGTCTCTGATTGGGAGCCATATTTATACTGTCTGTTTTCCCTTGGTGTTTGTGGGTTTTTGTTCCGTGTTCGGTCATTGTCACCGTGGACTTCACGA